ACCAAAAGAAATTAGTTGAATGGACCTGAAGTACTACTCGAAGGCCCTGTTTATAACTGAGACGCGCGTCTGACGTTTCCAGGCTATTAACAGATACAACCTGGCTCCTAATGCATATTTCCGCAGTGGTTCACATGGAGGTTGAAAAACGATGTAATTTCTAGCGCCCGGCCAGTAGGGCAGAGAAACTTTACAACACTCCACCGACCCCCTCAGCCCCATGCCAGCCCACCCCTCTCGGTTGTATACTCCACTTCCTGTGCCAGAACCTCAGAATGCACCAACATCATTCTGCATTTTAACAGCATCTGTGAAAATGAAAACTGAACCTAGAGCTTCGCGTGGTCTCGTTTGGACGAACGAAGGTTGTAGAATTACCTCTGTGTCCGCGCTGGAAGCCCACGTAGCTAGTTGGTGAGTCGCGGCGCCATTGTTGTTGATGTTTTTCTCCGCGACTGCGCAGGACAAATTTACGTGGCGGGGAGAAAGCGGGGAGCGTGGTCAGCGCAGAAGGGGGATTTCCACACCTATTCCCCTCTTCAGCGGGTGTGAAAGACTCCCCGCTGTGGCAGCTTTCTGAGTTGTCCCACTCTGCAGGCTGGATCTGAACACTTACATTTTCACCCCCTGAACACAGTCTTCGTGTGAACGGTTTTGGGTAGAAACCGACATCCAACTATAGTACGTATTTACTGCCACATTTGCCTCCGTTAACTCAGCCTAATGATATCCAAAAACTACTATAGCCATGAAGATAGCAATGTTGCTCTTAAAAATGTGAGAGTATTGTTTTGTTTGCCTTAAAGGTATGAAGGGGGGCAGTTCCGCCCTCTCTATTTTTGAACAAAACTCTCTGTCCCTTATTTGCATCACATAATGATTTGACTATTGGTAAGGACAAATTGTCTTGGATGATCCACCCGAAAGTAGAAAATCCTATATTTTTCTACTTCCGGGATATAGACATTTTCAGAAAACTTCTGTTTAAAGGTATACATCCGTTTAAAACTGAAATATTCTGAAAAGTCTATTATAATCGATTCTCTCTTTTAGGATTTTCTTTTTTTATAGAAACAAATTTGGTCGAACAAGCACATGATTATGGACAACGAGATGCCATTGAGCAATAAGTAGACAACATGACCGACACAAAACAGCAGAGTTCATAAAAGACTACACTGGAAAGCCTGACTATCACAACTGTTTATGATTGACCAGTAGAATTTACCAACCGTTCGACCACGATGACTGTGTGTCAGGGGGTGAAAATGTAAGAGTTTCAATCCCCTGCAAGTGGGTCAACTCAGAAAACGCTGCACAGCGGGAGCTTCTTTCACACCCGCGAGAGGGGTAATAGGTGTGAAATCCCCTCTGCTCTGACCCCCTCCCCCCGCTGCTCCCCGTACGTAATTTTGGTACATTCGCAGTAGCGGAGAACAAACATCAACTACAATGGCGCCACGTCGCACACAAACTTAGCTAACGTGGGCTTCCAAGCCGATCGGCAACAGAGGAATAATTCTACACCTTCGCTTCGTCCCAAACGAGACCACGCGAAAAGCTCTATTTCAGTTTTCATTTTCCACAGGCTGCTGTTAAAATGCAGAATGATGTTGGTGCATCTGAGTTCTGGCACAGGAAAGTGAGTATACTAACCGTGGAGGGGGGCTTGGGCATGGGGCTGCGGGGTCGTGTGAGTGTTTGTAAAAGTTTCTCTGCCCACAACTGCCGGGGCTCTAGGAAATAAATTCCCGTTTTTTCAACCTCGATTTTGAATACACTGAGAAATTTTGCATTAGGAGCCCAGGTGTGTTTCTTTCTGTAATAGCCTGGAAACGTCTGCGCAGCTTCTGCATGTATAGAACAGGCCTTCGAGTATACTTTTCATGTCCATTCAACTAATTTCTTTGTCACGCCCTCTTTTTAGTCTCCCAATCGATCAACCTCACTCTGTGGTGACATTGGTCAAGGCCATTTCTATGGTCATTCTACACGCCCTAATGTAAACATTATCATATTACGGGTCTCGTTACCACTCCTCGAATAAAAGATAGTTTTACTTTGGTAAAGAAAGTTTCTCATGTAATGGCAGCTATTTTTTTCCTAATATACATTATTCTTTGGTTTCCTGGATTGAATAAACTACTTGAAAAACATAGGTCACCTGTTTGACTTAGACATTAAAGACCTAATGAACGGGTTTTTTTTGTTAAAAAAATAGTGGATATCAAAATTGCATGACACTGTTCTAATTTGAAAGAAGATTCCTGCAAAAAAAATCCTATATTTATTAAAAGAACGTGGTATTTTCATGAATTTAAGTTGTCTGTGCTCTAACCTGAGTGTGACGTCATAGCGGGTTACGACGGCCCTATGCGAAGCATTGAAAAAACCAATGGATCTATGGCCCTGTCCACACGAAGTCATGCCAGCCTAAACGCAAAAATACGTTATCAATCCTTTGGTCTCGTCCATACGAGGCCGGCGTTTTGGGGGGTGTAAACGAACATTTTTGAAACTGATCCCCAATGAAAGATTTCAAAACTCCGTATATGCCGCTCCGTGGTTACGTATACTGCCTCATCCTTCTCCGCAATGTTTCTAGACCTGCGTCATCGCCCCGCCTCTTGTTAAAGCTCCTGCGCCGCACTATGAAATGAATGACAACAACAATGAGCTTGTGGTTTTTTTGTAAATCCAGTGTGCACCCGAAGCAACAGTTCAACCATCGTCGGCCTCCCATACTAATGTGTAACACTCGCCCCGCCCACCCTTCAACTAGTCGCCATGTTGTCTGTTACAAAATTCCGCGCATGCCCACGGAAGATTGGGCTTGATCCCGTCATTGCGTCAGAGCGCCACCAACAGTTCTGGCATAGTTTCACAGCTGTTTTTCAGGGCGTATGACTACATTTCCATATGGAACGCACACATTTACTGAGCTAACTCCGTGTTTACAGAAAAAGTTTTCTGAAATTATAAGCGTTTTGTACTCGAAGTGGATAATGCCTAATGCACAAGGAATGCCTTTTCTCTCTTTCTTCTCCCAATGATGCCCAACACAATACTAGCCTCTACAAGGTGACAATTGCCACTGTACACATACTTCATTGCCGTTTTGAGTGTAAAAAGTGTCCGAGTGGTAATTGAACCCAAGTAATCCCCTAGATTGAACAAGCCCATCAACACAACCCTGAACTTCTCAGTGTCCAGTAGCGAAATGTCACATTCTAGAAGTATACATACTCGCTGTAACTCATGTGGTGGGCCTTGCATCTGAATATCGCGAAAAAAGAACGATATATCATATTGTAAACAAGTTACAAGCGATGAAACGGCCCGTGTCTGAGTCACCAAGGGCTGTGAAGTTTTTTTTCGTTTCGTAGGGCGTTGCTATGGGGGTTATTTCGAGTTGGTGGGATCAGACATGAAAAATACAAAACTGAGTTTGAACCACTTTAGTAGTTCTCTCTATATAAAATGGTATTAAAACTGTATTTCTAAATAATCAACCCTCTAAGTCTTTAATGTGTGTTTTTTTGGTGTGTGCGTTCGTTCGTGTGTGTGTGTGTGTAGCGGCTCTTTCTCCTGCATCACTGTCCTGACACTCAGATTGATGTTGTCAGCCTAACAGTGCATGTCCATTTGACAGCAGCCAAAACGAGGGCATCTTCACATCTTCCCACATCATCACATTTAACAGTGTAGTTGCACATTTTCATGATACATCAATAGACGCACAAGAAAACCCATCTCCAGTATGAAGAAACAGTACGTGTTTGGGATGTATCAGCGTCTATGACACATGTCTGTTGATCTAATATATGTATATGTGTATGTGTATACTGTATGTGTATGCATCAAACTGAAATTTCCGCATTGTGGGACGAATAAAGGACCTTCTTATCTTTTACACTTATACTTTATACATTTTACACTATTCGGCACTTTGGGCAGAGAGATGATTGGCTAAGTCAGGGTCATCCTCTCTTTTCCAAATTTCCAAAGAAGCGACAGAGGCCAAAACAATGACATGCCTGTGAAAACTAGTGAAAGAATTGAAGTGTTTTAAGAGCAATTGGAATTCATTACATAGCATTATTTGTGGTTTAAAGTTACAATCCCAAGCTTTAACCCATCTCACTTTTCAAACTAGTTTCTATTTGAATATGACTGTATTTCAGGAAGAAATAAGGTTTGGTCATCTGAGCCTGACCCGTAGTCTAACAAACCTGTAAAGAGCAGAGTGAAAGATCATGAACTGGCATTAAATACATGACTGCTCTTAAAGGTAAAGTGGTGAATGATTTTCTGGATGATTTTCTGGTCAATTCAGACAATGGAATGCAATAAAAACAGCATTTTATTTTATTCAAAAGCTCAAAATGACACAGCATCCGATATTTCTTTTCACTATAGCATTTTTTTTATAGCACAAACTATCAGTTTATTTATAACATGTGATAAAAACAACAACAAAACAGCTAAAAAGTAACAAACTGTATAGACTCATACACAGTATAAGTCTCACACCCAACACAACCACATCAGTCAACAATACATCGCTTTTGAACACTTAAAAACTTACAAATTCATAATAACTTTTAATAATTATGCAAAGTTCCTATGTAATATGCTTTGAACTTCGTCAAGCCTCCCTTTTTGGTTTGTAAAGGTTTTGTGTTGTTTTTTTATTTTTTTTACAAATGTCCTATTGAGCCCCACATAACAGTCTATGTAGATATTCAAATTGCCCCTAACCCCTTTTTAAAAATTGACTTCAGATAACACATTTGCACACGTTGTAGAAATAGCAAACACACGCATAGTAAAATACACATTGCCTACTTCAACAATACAAAAATAGCATTCCTCATTACTCTGTATGTGCGCTGAGTGGCCACCAGGAGGCAGTATTGTCTTTCATGCATTGCTCTCCTCTTGTGGCAGTGAATATGTTTTTAGTTGGAAATAGTTTTTTTAGTTTTAGTCGGAGGAGTTCACTCAAACTTGCGCAGGTGGTTGTAAAGAGACTGGACATAGGTGAAGACACACATGGGGTCTGGTTTACGGCCCATTATCATCATGTCGTCCACTTCGATCAGACGGTCACAACCAGCTTTTGCCCTGAAAGGAAGATTCAAAATACAAAACAAACATGAGAATATCATTAGCTTTTCAAAGAATAGACTTTAAAACAGCTCTGCTTGTGTACAAGTCTCTCCATGGCCTCGCACCAAAATATATTAGTGACATGTTAGTGCCACATGAACCGAGCCGGACTCTGAGGAGCACAGGGACTGGACTCCTGTTAGTGCCCAGAGTCAGAACTAAACATGGGGAGGCTGCTTTTCAGATTCATGCTGCTAAAATCTGGAACAATCTTCCTGAAGATGTGAGACAGGCCTCCTCTCTGACAATGTTTAAAACCAGGTTAAAGACAGTTCTGTTTAACTGTGCATACAACTGAGGGATTTTATATTTTTATCTTTCTTTTTAATGTACTGTGCTTATTTATGATTTCAACGCTTTCTTATTTTTTTCAGCACTTTGAGTTGCCTTGTGTATGAATTGTGCTATACAAATAAACTAGCCTTGCCTTGCCCTTCATTAAAAATCAATATTTTTTTCTGTTATACTATCCATTTGAATATTGTTTATTGTATTATCTACATAAAATTGTATTCATATCTATTAGTAATAATGAAAATGGCCCTTCTTGAATCAATTAAAGGTACAAAAAATATATATATATACATATTTTTGTGACGCTCTATTCAAGGTGTCCCCTATTTGTTTCTACAGACAAAGATAGATAAGAGACCCTTTATTTGTCCCACAGTGAGGAAAAACAGTGAATGTATTGGGAGAATCTGAGTAGAATCTTGAATCTTGAACAGGTAACTCCTTGCCTATCGCCCTGTCACTATATTTTTCTTACATATATCTTGAAAAATATCAATAGCTAAAAACATTGACTCGGTTCCAACAAACATGTTTTGAAGCTTACGGTCGGCCTGTACATATGTAATAAACATATAGATTTGTGCCGATATAAGTGGTGCCTGTGTGATCTCTTTAAGACGGCTCTACAGTGTGTGTGTAAGCTACAGACCAAAGGGAATATTACTGAGAGTGAAATAATCTTAATCTCTGGCGGCATTATCACACGCTCTACTCTTATGGGATGCACACGTGTTAATCCAGGGGTGTTTAGAGTCCGTGACCTATAGAAACTCACTTATTTTCTCTTTTAAGGGGACAGAGGTCATGCGGTTTTGTATAAATATGCGGTTTTGAATAAATATGCAGTTTTGTATGCGGTTTAATACATATTTGACCAGCTGCTATACAAAGAAATAAATGATCCATTCAGTCAAAATTGTGTTCATGGGGTCAATCTAATGTGACCCCATGAGAGTAAAACACAGTAAAAGTGATGAAAAATCGGTCAAAAGTGCTCAAATTTGGTTTAAAAGCCTTGTATAGTCTGCCGTAAAACCAGATTTGCCAGTGGGACAAAGCAAAATGATCTTGTTTTAAAAAGATACAAGAAATGTGTCCCTTGGACTGAGAAAATAAAGCTAACGTTCTTGAAATAATACTGAATCTTGTTTTAAAACAGTCAGAATTTACTCAAATTAAGACAAAAACCATTCAAGCAATTCCCTCATATTTTTTATTTTTTTTGCAGTGTAGCAGGCTGTTTCTTCCTCAATATTAAGAAAAAGTACTAATAACTCAAATGTTATAATTTAGTTTCCAATGCAGATTTGTGTTTTACTCACTCAGCTGTCCCAAAAGCCAGTTCAAAGTTGTGTTTTCTGTTTGCAGGAGACAGGTCCATGTATTCGAACTCAGTCGGGAAGAAGGAGTGAACGAGAGCGCAGAAAGCCAAGCCGTCGCTCCAACTGGACGAGAAGTTCTGAATCTCGATATTCTGCAACAAATTACACAGAAGAATGTAGGTTGAGATATGAAATTGTGCGCTCACCTTACTGTTTTGGCCTCATCTGGTCTAGACTCGGGATGGACTTGACCTAGACCTCCATATGCCTCCATGCTATTGCCTGACCAATCGAGATACAGAATCTAGTCCATACTGTAATTTGGCAAGACACCTCATTAACTTTGCCTATACATACACATTAGTACAGTGTAGGGTCAGAGAGTGTTTAGACCTGTATGACTGTGTATTGTTGTAAATAATGTATCTTTTAATATAGATTTAGACCTTGTATGCATGTGAGAGTCAGTTTGAGTGTGCATTATTATGTTAATTTAATGTTATTATTGCCGTGGTAAATGTAGTCCTTCTCTGCTCCATCCTAATATTTTGTTTTTGTACTTTTGTCGGACCCCATCTATATACACAGGATATCTTTCTAGGGTTTCCTTTTTTTACAATTCCACAAATATATTCCGACAATTGCAATGTTTTGGAAATCCATGATGTTGTAAATAGTAAGACTGAATTGAATTGAATGGCATGAATTTAAAAGCCAGCCTCAAGTTTGAAGCGAATCAACAACACGATGGCGAACTCTTTGAACGTCTTGATCTAAAGCAGTGGTTCTCAAACATGTCTTCACACAGAGCAACAGCTAAGAAAATACAGGGTCTCCCGGGTACCACCACATCTAAATATTTAGCTGGACCTGTACCATCTGAATCTAGCCTCGAATAGGACATTTCTGGGTTTGAACCTAAAAATGAGAACCTTCCTTTTACACCCACAAAAAAATAATATGTATTAAAGCTGATCTAACTAGCTCTTAGCTCTTGGTTCTACCGCTAGTTTTGTATTTTGGGTCTTTGCTACATCTTTTAGACGAGTTTTCCACCATAAAAGTTAAAAAGGGAGGACCACCCACTGCAAAAAATAATAAAATATGAGGTAATAATAATAATTGAATCGAGTGGTTTTCATCTTAATTTGACTTCATTCTGACTGTCTTAAAACAAGATTCTCCAACGGGACAAAGCCATTTTCTCTCTTTTTTTTTAAACTGTTGCTTTATTTTCTCATTCCAAGGGAGACATTTCTTGTATTTTTTTTAAACAAGATAATTTTTCTTTGTCCCATTGGCAAATCTTGTTTAAAGGCTGTCCAAATGTGACTTTTTCATCGCTTTTTGCAGTGCCTTCACTCAGTTCTCAGCCCAAAGCACCAAAAAGTGACTCACAATGCTCTTTCTTACTTATAAAATCATTAAATAATCGAAGGCCACATAAATCTGCATATAAGAAGCTGGCGTCAGTGGAATACATAGCACAGTTTGACAGAAATGAGGACCAAGAGTTCATCAACGCATTGTGAAAGAAGACTGAAAAATGCAAAATACTGCTAGATGAAGGCGGATGACCTCTCAGAGAAATCCGAGAAGACAAAAACCTTTTAAATGACACTTTTATGTGGTTTCATAAAGTCTTCAGCCCTGTCCCTAACAGACAAAGCAGACAGCTGTGGTTTGTCCTACTTTCGGGCCTCTCTTTGTGTCTGCAGTGGGATTCTTTCAAAAAAATAAAATAATGTCATTTGGGGCTATTTCTGGTTCAAATCTACTGCTCTCCATCTGAATATACTGAGTGTGTGTGGTGAGCTGCTACTTAATAAAAGTTGAGGCTCGTCTCTAAACAAAACCACATGGAGCAGATGGTGGAGTGAGCTCTGGAGGTTAGAGCCGTGCAGTCCGTTTTACTGCCAGTGTAAAATACAATTCAATATGGCATAAGCATGAGATAATGAAACTGAAACTCTGGGTGGCAGACGGACTGAGGCTGAACTGTAGCTTTAAAATAAACTAGATCTGCATAAGCCATTTTTTTCAACATGTCCAGCTTTATTTGTAGTTTTTTAGAATATGTTCTATTTTTTACCTAAAAGAATAACAATGATGTCTTATAATTGTCCATTGAAAATCGTTAACTATTTGCTATACTTCAAGTTTTAGAATATGAAATAATATCTGAAGTAAAAACATTAGTGTAACAAGTTTGATGGGTGAAAGATAAAATAATGTCAGAGGAGTGGATTTTAAATGTTTTAAACTATTGAAATTTGGAAATCACCAGCTGCAACCACGCCCATGTGATAGTAAATTATGTAATTTCACAACTAATTTACGGGCAATACCTATGTTTTAGAAGATAGAAAACTACACTGAGCGTGATGGTAAGATAAGATAAGATCAACTTTATTGTTTTTAGGGAAATTTGCAGCCGGATACAGTGCTACACAGATCTGCATGAATGAATAAAAATAAAAAGGAAGGAAAAAAATACATAAACAGGAAAGTGCAGTAGTGCTTTGAAGTCTGTTAGATCCAATTCCACAATGGCCTCATGCTACTGCAGGACTGAGACAGAAGTTCCTAGTTTTATTTTGACCTCATACCCATTTTACACTATTCCTCATCAAAAAGCAGACCTGGAGTTGATTTTCATTCCTCCCAGGCTTATGTCAAGAACTTCAGTTACAAGCACGTCCCCCGCACCATCTGCCAAAAAGCTCCTCTCTCAAACCTGCTACGCTGTGTTCCAAACCCTTACACTATATTACATCATAGTCAGAGCTGTAATTTGCATTTTAAAACCAAGTTATTGCCTACAAAAGTTGTGGCAATTTCTAATGTCGGCGTGGTTTTGTTTTCAGATTTTAACGTTTACACTCTGGTGGCAGGAATGTGTAATAACAGGCTGAGACAACTTGTAGCTTGAATCATTATTTTCCCATATATTTTTGACTTTTTATATGAATTATTTCACATTCTAAACAGGAGATACCAAAGTGAATAGTGTCTTTATCATGAGTGTAAGTTACTTCAGACCTACCTGGTATCCGATGGTCTTGGATCGGCACCACTCCAGCAGCACCTGTTTGATGCTGCTGGCACTGGAGACACCGAAACTCTGAGACCGCTTCAGTTTAGACTTGGAATCCACGGCTTTGGGACCCCTGTGAAAGAGAGAGAATGGATTAGATACAGTTTATTCTCATGCAGAAGACTTGAAGAGTGTTTATAAAAAAAGAAAAAAAAATGCAGTTTAAATGGTGGATTTTGTTACTGTTAATTTCTCAACCCAATGTTCTCGGTACAAAAAAAAAGTGCTATAATCTATCCAACTTGTCCTCACTCTCAAATTTTTTCACATATATATATTTTCAGGCCTCTGTCAAATCTTTAGATGAACTTTTTCAGACATAAAAGTTAGAAAGAGAGGAGCATCCTCACTCAAGCCAATCAGCTCTCAGTGTCTAATGGTGACTCTTTCTTACAAAAAAGTACATATTTTCTAGTATTTTGTGGCCTGACCATATTACTTATGACTCTAAAACAAAAATAGTTATCTATACCTGTTTGATTCTGACTCCAGTTTCTCGAAGATGGAGCGACGAGTCTGACCGATGCTTCTGGGCAGAGTTTGGGACCGGACCAGCTCCCTCCTCTTCTCTGTCCCGGGACGGTCACAATCACTGTCTCTGTGACAGCAGACAAACGCACAACATAATATTATCTTAATATTAACAATCTTCATCTTGTCCTGAGCTGCCATTTAGACTTCAGTCTCATTTGTGGGCATTGGCTTTTTGGGGTCCCAAAAAGTCATGTGTTGTCAATGTGTTGTACAAGTCCCCTTGTATAACACATTGACAAATCAAAGATACAAGTAAAGAGTATGGACTTTTTACAAAACACTTTTCATAGAAAGAAAAACTAATTAAAATGAGTTACTCAAATTATGACAATTACTGAAGTTCCTGAAGTTACTGAAGGTGTAGGGTTGTCAAAAGTATTGGAAAACAGATTTGTATTGATTCAAAACTAATAAAAGTATTTCTTTTAAATCACAGAAACAGGGCAATAATAGACTTTATATGAATAGAACTTATATAAACCCTGATGCACTATAACAATCACTAATATGTTATACCATTATATTATGCCATTACAGTATTGTATTAAAATTCAGCATCCATGAAAGATCATCTTTAAAGTACAATTGTATTAATTGGTATTTAGAAGAGTCTATTCCTCACTGCCTTCCTGTATTTTGAACTAGCATACAGTAGAACATAATTTGCTTTGCTGTCTTTATCTACATTTTTGTCTGAAAGTCTTATTTTATTTTGTCTGTCCCACCATGTCATCCCACTTTTATTGGAGGCATGTTTAGAAAGTCTTCTACCTGTCCCGTTGTGGAAGTCCAGAGTATGTGACGCACTTTGCTGGAGCTGAATTTGCTAGTTCTGGTGGACACAAAGTTAAAAGGTTAGTTTTTGGGATCGGGTGTCATTACTATACTGATACTGTGTGGACTCACCCTGAAGCCGAGGAGATCCCAGAGTCCGGACTGGAGCTGGGGTCCATGTCTTCACTGAGGGAGCTGGAGAAGACATGAAAAACAGTTGTATAATAAGATACAGAAAGACCTCAACTCAATTATACAGCTATATAAATCTCACCTGGAGACTCCACCCTAGCCGGTGAATGGTGGTTGCCGTTTAGTGATTGGCTGAGAGGAGGGCTGTCTGAGGCGGGGGAGCGGGCACAGCCGGGGCTGATGGGAGATCCCAGCGCTCGGATCTCTGCGGTCTTCGTGGTGGCGGTGATCGGCAGGTGATGCATCCGACCAGCAGAGGGCGCTGTGTGCAGGGGCAGGTCAGTGGGAGGGGACAACTTTCCGTTCACCACCGAGTGATCTGGGTGACAATAATAATACTTTAAAAACCCTGAGAGATACAGTAGCAACGTTTGAGGATGTCTTTTGAGCGGAGAATATGAATATAAAGTATCGGGTTTATAATTTGAAAATAAATATTACACTTTAATTTTGTCCATTAATTAAATGCTTTCTGTTTGTAACTCGCTTTGCTACCACCAGAGGGCAGAGCTGCATTAGCTTTTTTTTTTTTTTTTTTCACATTTGAAAATAACCGTCTGCAAAACACCCATGCCATTTTAAAGAACATAATTTCACTTGAGAAACTACCTATCATACCCATAACAAATAATCTATGGCTGAAATGTATAGAGAGTGGATGGCTCTAAAAACAACTCCAGGTCTGAAACAATGTTGGAACAATTCATACACAGGGAAAGTGCTTTACAAAACAAGAAAAGAAATAAGTTTTAAATCAAAATATAGGAAAATTTGTAACCTGTGTTATGAGAGTGTCCATTCTCCAGGCTGCCATTGGTTGAGGCTGAATCTACGTCTATGGGCTCTTCTCGCTCAGCATTCTGTAACACACACCATATGACATGTAAGTTTAAAAACGTCATATCATTAGACACAAAATTATTTCAATATTTCACCAAGCACCTATCGTGACCTGTGCATGGATTGTTCCGTTTTTTCTGCATTCGGAGTCATCTTTCTGTTTTATTGATGAATATATCCCAGATGTGTCATTCTTTGAGTCACTGATTTCAACCTGTCTGCGCCTACAGTAAATTTTTATAACTTCAGCCAAAACAGAGTGAGATCATCGGCAGTTTGCTCAACACACGACTGTAGAATTCTGGGAAGAGAATCAGTGACGTCGGTGAAGTCGTGGGGAGTTCTTGGCGTGTGTCACGAAGCGTCATCAAAGCCTTTTCCTCCAGACACCGAATTGTAAATTGTAAATCCAATCAAACTCTCACTACAGTTTTTCGTCCCATTCCTTCACTATTGCACCAGTTCAAATGTGTGTTTCAGAAATGTCTTTGAAGATGCTTTGTCCTTTCCAAAACTCTGCACAAGTCACAGTTTCTACATGAGTTACATTATAGAAGTAACATAATCTTGTATTTTTGGCCATTCAAAATATATATAATGTCTCTTTTTACTTTACATGTTTCAATTCCTAAAATCTGTCCGAAGTAGACAAACTATGACAAGACCATAGACTGTATACAAGTACTGTATGGTAAAGCTGATTTGTTTTCCTTTTATGAAAATTACCAACTGCAAACCCATCCATGTAATTGTAAAGAATGGCATTTCATCTGGGAGATTGACAAAACTAACAATTGGGCAATACTTTAGTTTTAAAGGGGGAAAAAACTATTCTGAGTATGATGTCATAGTGGTACAATGACATAATACTGTTACAGAACTGAGACAGGATATTTTAGACAGAATTAGCGGAGTTTGTGTCAGAAGTTCCTTATATTCGCGTTGATGAATTTGTGCCAAAAACTCCCAAAATCGGTTTTGGAAATGTGCATTTGGATGGAGAGACACTGATCGTGAGGTTGAAGAGGAGGAAGAGGAGGAGAAGGACATGTTGTTCTTTCTTCTAAACTCTCTGTTCTGGAGAAAGAACTGAGCCAGAGACAAACACCATGTGTCTTTACTTTGCTTCATTCGTCTTTCACAATGATTTCAATATGCACAATTCAATTGAAGAAGTTACATTTCAATAAGGAAAAAATAAGGATGATTAGGTTCTTTTATTATTTTGTTCACAATTATGTTAACCTGGACATACCCGACTTCCCAAAATAAGTCTGGAATAGGCTTTTTATTTATATTGTGGTTTTAACAGGTAGCAGCACCAAGGCAACTCTTTAGTATCAAATCTAATACAAACTTTAAGCACATCCTAATCCTGTCTTGTCTCCACGCACTTGTACAACTAAATAGTCTACAATTTGTGTTATTATTACCAAGTAAACGTTGAAAAGACCAGATCTAAACTTGGCTCAAAACAAGACCAAACTTGGAAATGTGTCGTCGTCTGGAGCAGAGCTGATACGGGCCTCTCTGAACCGCACTAATGCACCAAAGGTGTAACACTGATAAAAGTCTTTTAAAAGGACTGTTTGAACCTGAGTGCAGGTTTTATGTCTGGGATTTAGTTCAAAATGTCATTGAAGTGTGGTTGAACTTATGCAGAAAAAAGAAAATGTGTAAAACAGGACAAAACAAACAATAAACTACTGAACAGTTTCCTGATCATGAACATAATTGATAATGGACTTCTGATTGCAAAGACACGTTTAGCATTTATTTGATTAAATCTGTTTGAAAATCTAAACATGAAATAGAAGCACCAGCTTGTACGAATAATCACATTTAAAATCACAATTACACAATTGCAATCCACATTTATTCATGTTCTTTGTAAACAAACAGGAACAAAAGATTAGCAAAATAATTAGGAATAGTAATAGGAAAGTATTGTTACAAATCAATCACGTCATCTTTTATGTGAATCATATAAACGGTGAAAATTTACAAAAGTCAAGTCTGATGTAAGAATGTTGTTAGTAAATTGAGAAGTTTCTATGAGTTTAAGATTTTCACAGTGAATCACATTAAACATCGCAATCACCTTGGTCAGAAATATCTTTAAGTGATCATTTTTCGCCAAAATCGTGGAGCCCGAATCACTTGACATCTTGACCAAAACAATGAATCCACTCCAATGAATCAAAGATAAATCTGGGATATCTCATTCTAAAACCCCAAAAATGCAACAATGTGACAAAGTCCCTCCTTTTCATCACATCAACCCACATCCTTCTAAAACTCCTCCATCACAACTCATTTCCACCACTGACACTGACGTCTTAAGTGTGACCTTATTTGCCAAGAGAGCGCTTAGTTAAGTGTGTGATTTAAAGTGTTTTGAGAAAAAGTACCCAGTTCTTTCCACCGTGCAGCTGGTTGTACTTGAGACTTGGACGAAAGAGAAAAGTTGAATGATTTCACGGTTGATGGAGGAGACGCTGCACATTGTTTACATAACGTCATAATATTTGGACGCAACGTGACTGCAGCTGGTCTGATCACTGATGCCAATGGAAAAGCACTTAATCCAGGGGAAAAACTATAAAGATCGGACTGGTAAGTGGTTTGTTTTGGGCCATTTTTTTACACAAATCCAGGATCTTTCACATTGAGAGGGTCGGTTAAGGTAAATGGATCACATCACTGATTTTCGTGTCCTGATGTGATGCTAGGTCGGCCTTGAAACAAAGCAAATTTCAGCCCGAAGGATTCAATTGGGCAATTTCTTTCCATTTTGTAATGTTCTGATTCAATTCTCAAGCGCTTAGGAAAGCAAAACAATCAATTTGAGCAAATAGAAAGAATTATTAATTTGTAATAATTTTAGTGAAGTGGTCTGCCTGCCTTGGAATATTTTTAGTCCGTCTTAAAACCGTTTTAAAAGACATTGGATTACGTTATATTCAGTGAGTGGTATTCATTCTCCTCTAAAGTCACAAAAAATGACATCGGACTTGGGCAATAAATCAAAAGTATTCAATGAATCCCCTTTTTGAAAATAGAATATGTGAGAAATGTCAAAATTGTAGATTGGAGGTCAAAATTTGTTTTTTTATATATTATTACTGATATCAAAAAACAATATTATTACTGATTTTGAGGTCAGGCAATTCTAAATGGCTTTTTATGAGATTGATTGATTTTTTACTTAATTTTTCATTCTTATGCAACATAAACATAGACTTTCTGTGTGGAGTTTGCATGTTCTCCCCATGTCTGCGTAAGTTTCCTCCAGGTGCTCTCCAGTTTTCCCCATTCCACTAAAAACCTGTGTGGCGTCCCTACTCCCATCACTGTGTGGAGAGAGAGACAAATGCCCACAATTGTTAACCGCTTTGTGACTCTGGTCTGTGAAAGGAGCTCTATAAATAAACATTACTTACTTATTATTTTGCTTTCTCAAAAAATTCAAATTATGTTTTAGTTTATCGATGTTACAGCGTCAATTGTTTCCTGCACTTTTTTGTTCGTTTTCTGTTCCTATTTTTGCTCTGTTCTGTTTATTTCTTTTCTTTTATCCTTGTTTTTTTTATGTACTTGGGGCTTTTGCAAACGTATTCCAACGTGGTTTTACTGCAAATGGCAAATAAAATGAATAGGAATCTGAACCGTGAGACCGATCATTATCATTCAGACGCTTCTTGCAAGTTCGTAATGGATTAATTAAATGCAATTGTTTTGGAGTTATGTAGATCAAAGGTGGTGAACAAATATAATATAAAGAATTAGCACAGCGAGGTGAGAACAGCTGGTTATCTGCAGCTCTCTGTGGCGGGGGGCTTCCCAGAGTCCAGGGCTGGTCAGGGGGAAACACGATAGGGCGAGGGTCGGTGGTTTCCTGTAAACTGTGTGTGATCTGAAGGCTTTGGCAGGACACCGAGATACACCGTGCTTCACACCACAGCTTGGAACTCGCAGCCGCCAACACAGACTAATGCCAGGTTATGTTTATGATGTGGTTAAAGCCCGCAGCCGGAACTACTGCTTATGTGGTTTTTGCATTCAGCCTAGATGCTTAAACAACAATGGATTTTTTTTCTCTCCTTGATTCAGATTCAGACCAGTTTATTTATCCCACCAGCAGCAATTTATTTGAAAAGCATAGAACAAAATAAGCAAAAGAAAACCCAGGTCAAACAGTAACATAAGCCATATAATGTGAAGCGCATGATGATTTCTGAGCCCCTGAAACGAGGTTTGGTTTGGTAGTTTATCTATTTAATTATTTATTTATGTACAGCTCAAATTACAAAATGCAAAATGGCAAAACAAGCTTCTTCGGTATAGTTTAAACTCTTTGTCACGTATGAGATTATTCGTCCTTGTTCTCAGCCAAAACCAAAAACAGTCATGCAACGTACGAAATGTGCTTTTGTTTTGTCTGTAGCATGAATATTTATTATGGAGCGTGTGTTTTGTATTGGATATACTGCATTTTATTTCATAAGTTACATTACTGTGTGTAAGACCACCAACTACCAGATAAACAGCATATCGGAAGAATGGATGGGTAAGCTGCTTATGTAGTAGTTATGCTAGCAGTTTATGCTACAAATGAATTGCCCTTTGGGATCAATAAAGTTTTCTGAATCTGAATCTGAATATAAAAAGGTTTATGGTTTGATGTATAAAAGTTATAAATGGTCACTTACATGGTATTTATGTTCTGTTTTGGCACCCCTGCATATGAGCTAATGCAACTTCCTGGCAGTTTCTTTTTACACTTGAATTGAAAAGAAAATGTTAATTGTGTAATAGGTTCTATGTAATAATTAGGAACATGCTGTAAATTCTAGTCACATGTCGATCATCCAGACATGTAGAAATATCAAGTTTCTGCAGAATTTTACTTTACTGGATAGAACTAAAATGATATTTCATAACTTGAATCCCTGAATCAGCTCAAAATAGAGTAAACAAATGAAAAACATATTCCACAACTTTTGCCTCGGACCATTTT